TCTTGGTGTGGGGTGTGAGCCAATTGGCTACAGCTTCCACCTTAGCGGGTTCTGGTCGCTGTTTCCCACACCCTACCCTGTGTCCCAAGTACTGTACTTCGGCCATTCCGAAATTACATTTCTCTGGTTTCAGAGTTAGGCCTGCGGCCCTAATCTGATCCAGCACAGCCTCTACATGTCTTAAATGCTCTTCCCAAGTCTCACTATAGATTGCAATGTCATCCAGGTATGCGCATGCGAATTCCTGGAAGCCATCAAGGAGGCGATCCACTAAGCGCTGAAATGTAGCTGGGGCGTTTTTCATCCCGAATGGCATGACCTTAAATTGGTACAAGCCAAACGGGGTGACAAACGCCGACTTAGGGATAGCATCCTTGGCCAGGGGAATCTGCCAATACCCTTTGCACAGATCGATGGTTGTCAGATAGCGTCCCCTGGCAATACGATCTAATAGTTTGTCTACCCGGGGCATGGGGTAGGCGTCTGTCACGGTCCTGTCATTGAGGCGTCGATAATCGACACAGTTGTTCCGTCCTTTTTGGGGACTAGGACAACTGGGGAGGCCCAGGGGCTGTCGGATGGCTCTATGACTCCCAGTCTTAGCATCTCCTAAATCTCTTTCTCATTTCCTCTTTTACAGCTTCAGGGATTCTATAGGGAGTCTGTCTAAGAGGGGTCTGTCCTGGTGTCTCCACATAATGTGTCGCTAAGGGTGTGTAACCTGGCTCCTGAGAGAATGTCAATCCTTTCTCAGCTAGCAATTGTTGAAGTTGTTCCCTTTCTGTGGGGTTTAACCGCTCCCCTAGCTGCACTGTGTTAAGCAGAGTTTTCGTCTCGGAGTCAGCTAACAAATCTGGGATGGGAAGACTGTCAGGGTCTTCAGTGGTCGGGATACATATGGCTGCTATATCTTCGGGCCTTTCTTGGTATTCTTTTAACAAATTGACATGAAACGACTTCTGGACCCTTTTGTCTTGGCTACTGGCAATTACATAGGTGGTGTCACATACCTGGGCCACTACCTTGTAAGGGCCTTGCCAGGAGGTCTGTAGCTTGTTTCCCTTGACAGGTCTAAGTACCAGAACTTTCTGACCTACTTGGAACGTTCTCAATCGGGCGCCCCGATCGTACCAGTGTTTCTGACGGCCCTGGGCTGCCTGGAGATGTTCTCAGCCATTCTGGCTAGGTGCCCCATGCAGTCCCGCATCTCCAGCACATAAGATATGATAGGAACGCCCTCATACTCTATCTCTCCCTCCCAGTGCTCTCGGATGAGGTCGAGGGGGCCTCGCACTCGCCGTCCATAGAGCAGCTCGAAGGGAGAGAACCCTGTGGATTCCTGGGGCACCTCTCGATATGCGAACAAGAGGTGCGTCAAGAATCGCTCCCAGTCTCTGTGTTCCGCTGTAAAGGTCCGTAGCAATTGCTTTAGGGTACCATTAAAACGCTCACAGAGACCGTTAGTCTGGGGGTGGTACGGGGAGCTGAGCAGGGTCTTGACACCACAGACCTTCCATAACTGCTGGGTTAGATCTGCGGTGAACTGGGTCCCTCGGTCAGATAGGATTTCCTGAGGGAATCCCACTCTGGTGAATATCCAGACTAGGGCACTGGCGACAGTGTCAGCCTGGATATTCGTCAGAGCGACAGCCTATGGGTAGCGGGTAGCATAGTCCACTACTGTAAGAATATATTTCTTACCCGAGGGACTGGGGTTAGGTAGGGGTCCCACTAGGTCGACTGCCACCCGGCTAAACGGTTCCTCGATCACAGGCATGGGTGACAGGTACTGCAGTAACACCGCACGTCTTTCGAGATCCCAGGCCAGAAAAAGGTCTGTGTGATCCTATAGGCGGTGCGGTTACCCCCTAAGTGCCATGCCAACGGAATGTCATGTCCTATTCGGAGAAGTTCCAACCGGTACTTTCTGGGTACCACTAGTTGGCGCTTCTGCAAAGGGATACAGCCTCTCCTCCTACCTTGAGTTAACCTGTATAATCTGTCACCCTCCCATAGAAACTGCTCCCGCTCATCCCCCCCACTGTCGGCTAATTCCCGATACTTTTGGAGGGTGGGCTCCTGTCTAGTTTCCCTCCCAAACTCCTCTGGGGTGTCCAAAGCTATGGGTCTTTCTACCGTGTTAGGGCTGAGTGTCTGTTTGTGGCTTACCTGGGTCTCCCGTTCTGCTGGAGGATCGTCCTCGATACGGGTCTGTGAGCGGGTGGTCACGGGACAAGCAGCAGCAGTCGTGGGTAGATAAGCTGAAGCCAGAGGGCCAATGTCGTTGCCCAACACGACTTCAGCAGGTAAATTGTCCATGATTCCGACTGTGGTCTTTCCCGACCCGACTCCCCAATCCAAGTGTACCCGGGCAGTGGGTAAGCGAAAAACAGCCCCCCCTGCGACACGGACAGCAACAGTACGGGTAGATACATGCGCCGGTTTCACGAGATGTTTCTGCACCAAAGTGATGGTAGCGCCAGTGTCCCTTAGGCCTTGTTCTACCTGTCCATTTACACGCACCTCCTGGCGGTGATGCTGGCGGTTATCTGGGGATGCAGCTTGTATGGGGTTTGCCTCGTACAGGATGCCCAAACACTCCTCAGGGCTCCCTTCGGTTTCCAGGCAGTGAGCAGCAGAGGTATGTGATGAAGGGGTCTCTGAGTTATTGGTCGGGCGCCTCCAGTTGTTATTGGCTGATCCCAAGGGGCAATAACGAGCAATATGCCCCGTGAGCGATGGCACGTAATTTTGTAAGAATCCCGGGGTTGGTGGTTAGACCCCTGAGGCCGTGGAGGTCCTGGGGGTACTGGGGCCCGAAATTCTGTGCGTGCAGCGGGCATTGAGGTGCGTGGCTCTGCTCTAGGGGTTGGTCGTGTGGACCCTTGGCTCACCTTTCTTGACTCTGCGTATTCGTCCGCTAGCCGTGCTGCCTCGATTAAGTTAGCAGGGCGACGATCTCTCACCCAATCCTGTATGTCTGCCGCCAGATCTTGGAAGAAATGTTCCATTAGGAATAGCTGTAGTACTTCCTCTCCTGTGTTGGCATTGCACCCTCGCACCCAATGTGATGCCACCCTTTGCATCTTGTTTGCCCATTCCATGTGGGAGTCTGCAGCCTTCTTTTTAGACTCCCTGAAGCGACGGCGATACATTTCCGGGGTGACGGCATATCTGGTGAGCAGTGCAGCCTTCACCCGGCGATACTGCGCAATATCTTCCTCAGTAAGCGCCCGAAAAGCCTCATTTGCTTTTCCTGATAGCTTTCCAGCCAAAATAGTGACCCGTTGGTCTAGTGGTATTTGGTGTAGTGAGCACTGCCTCTCGAAGTCAGCCAAATATCCGTCAATCTCTTCCTCACTTTCCACAAACGCTTTGAACGCAGTGAAGGGTATTTTCTGCCCTGTAGCAGCGGGTGGGGGAGTATGAACTGTATGTGCAAAAGGGTTGTCTAGCTCTTGCCAGTTCAAGTTTGTGCCCCCTCCTATTTTGTATCTCTGTTCTCGCTTCCCGGAACAGCTGATCTATTAGCTCCACGGATGTTGCTGGGTACATGGATAATCTCCGCTGAACCAGATTTGTCATTTCCTCCTCCTCGCTGACAGGGGTAGGTTGGTCCACGACCTCCATGGATCGATCCATCTCGTCCAGCTCCAGTAGGTCAGCTATCAGCTCTCTCCGTGGTCCGTTGCTGGCACTCCTTCCTCTGGTTTCCAATAGATCCTTTAGTGTGGGTCTTTTCAGTTTAGCGTACTGGGATTCCATTCAGCACTTGCGTTGGGGATGAAAAGGACCATCCCGCCGCTGCCACCAATGTAACGGCTACCCTGCTGGAGAGGGGTACCTGCCGTTGGAGACATCCTTTTCTAGGCAAGCTGCTGTGAAGTAATGGAATTCTTATTCCCATCCACGATATCCAATTGTATAATCCAAGAGTGCTGTAAAATGAGGCAGAGTAACGGTACCATAAATCCCCTCCAAGAACGAGACGAGGCTACGTTTTGAAGGGTCAAGTAGAACTGATGTTTATTGACAGGGGTCTCCTTTTATGAAATATTGCCCTCTGAAAGGCTACACCCACATAATTATCACAACAGCCAATTACATACATGGTTCAACCCCCACATCTCCTCCCCTCCGATAACATGTAACACAATTAAAACAGACACAATTTTAACTACATTCTGGATGTACCCCAAAAACAGGGGGTACACCTTTAAGTCACCGCTTAATAGCTCTCACTCAGGGGAACAATATATCCAAATTTCAGGTCATTCGGTTGAGGGGTTCGGGAGTTATGGGTCTTTGAAGTTTTGACCGACCGCACAGGTTTTCCAGCCGAAAAGAGTTCCATAAGTTTTGGCCTTGCGGTCAGTCTCCATTCGTGCATAAAAACCCCACGAACCCCTTGCCATCCACAGTAATCCTGGTGTTCGCCTGAATCCCCATGAATGCTTAAACAAAACTACCGAACGGCCGGTCGTTCGGTAGTTCCAGCA